CTCCCTGCTCCCCACCCTGGCCGTCACTCTGCTCCTGGCTGGGGCACGGCAGTTTGTCGTCTACTCATACAGCTTTTATATCAACACCAACCTCAGGATCATCTGCTTGAAGACAGCCTTAAAGAGGAACACTAAATTTGAGTATTCATGAGCATAGTTTTCACTGGATACAGTATATCAGAAATGATCCCTATGAATGTAACTGGCATAAAAACAGATTTGAAATTTATTACCATGTAGCACTCACAAATCTGTCTTGGGAACAGAGACGCATCCCTCGCCACAGCCTCAAAAGCTTTATTAGAAGAAGGCATTTTACATCTGAGTATTTTAAAGAATTCTGCCTATTAATTCTCACATAAATATGCCTTATTCCAGACAGAAGTTTGTAACAGTAAAGAGTAAAATTACATTTCACACTGTATGATTATTTTATTGCTATAATTTGTGATATTACTACAACAGCAAAGTAGCTCCATTCTCAGAATGATCATTGATCTGAAGAGACACCAACACACTAACAACAACACACACTCCTCTGTGTTGCCTATACATCCATATGAGGCATTTGGATTCTTCTGATTTTAACTTTAGCCACACTTTTACTTTTTTTAAAGCTGTGTTGTTCATGTAAAGTATGTCAGCAACAGTCTACTGCTGCTGCCTGAATGTTTAATGGTGATACAAACACAAAATAGTAAAAAATTATTTTTAAATTATCAAAATAGTTGCAGATTTTGTTTGATCACTAATTGATTATTGGACTTACTGTTGCGACTCTAGTTGTGAACCTGTGAAAGGTGCTTTTGATGATGACCCTTGAGGTAAATGAAAACTAGCAGGTTTGATTATTATTATTTCCATGTCAGCCAAAGTCATGACATGAGGGGAAAAAAATCTACTGCACACAACTATCATATTGTTATAGTAGTAGTCAGTTCCCTTTTTCTGTTGTACTTCATTTCCAGTGTAATTTTTAGATCTGGTCATACTGAAGTAAGCTTTGGGATGTGGTTGGGGAACCTTTTTTGATCACCTAAAACGATGTATGTGAAGTACTCTGAAACACAGCCCTGCACCATTACTTTTTTTTATAGTTTTACTCTAATAATAGATGTCCTGCCGGAGGCTTAAAAGCCAGCCGACACCTGTTCAGCCAAACGGGAAGAAGAAATGTCTGTTATGATGATCAGTGGAAGGTTGATTTATCTGCTTGCAGTTGACTTAAGCTATTTAGTGCTTTATGGCGTTTAGCCTGTCATATCAAATTTATGATCTAAATCAGGATACAAGGAACATCATGTTTCAGTTGGCAACCTTAACTTTATTGTTCTCAAGGATAGAAGAATAATTAAATGATTTATACAAGGAACATTGTTTTTCAGGTGGCAACCTTAACTTTATTGTTCTCAAGGACAGAAAAATGAAACAGAGAACACTCAGAGGTTAAAATAAAACGTATAAAACAGGCCCTAAAACAACCGCTCAAACTGAACTGCTTTTTTTTTTTTACATAATGACCTTACTGACCTGCACTAGTACTTATTGTATCTTAAGTTTCAAAAGTGCTTCACATGGTAAAACAGTTGGTGATTCAGAAAAAGTGAAAAGATATTTTGTTTTATATAAAATACAAAAAAATTAATCAGCTGTCTTTGTTTGACAGTGTCAGTTGTTGTCTACTAACTGGAGAAAATATATAAAATATATATACATATCATGTTTATAGCTGGATTACCAGCAGTGGAAGAAGTACTGAGATTCTTTACTTAAGTAAAAGCAGCAGTACCACTGTGTAAAAAGTAAAAATCATGTATTCACACTGATCAGCACTGAAATATACTAAAGACCCAAAAGTAAAGTAGATTGGCACATTAAAATATAACATTATTGATCAATTATTGAGTACATCACATTTAATGTTGCAGCTGGTTAAGTTTTTAACTATCTTAAATTATAATTTGAAGTAGGTGCAGGGTAGCTTGTGAATTTCCCACTGGGGCTCAGTAAAGTCTTATGATTATACTGCTTTGTTTTATCCATGTGATTCTGGAAAGTAACAAGTTATCAAATGACTGTAGTGCAGTAAAAATACAATATTTTCCTCGAAAGTGAATTCTATGAAGAAGCAGAAAATGAAAGGTACTCAAAGTGCAGATACTTCAAAACTGTGGTACTTAAGTGCAGTAAATGTGCTTAGTTTCCACCATGGAATACAGTTTTAAAGATTTCACCAGGCTTTTCGGCTGCTGGGGTGCGGCCTGGGTCAGGCAGCAGCTCGGCCACCTCAAGACGGATATGTCCGGTCAGACCTCCATGGATGGATGGATGCAGCTCATCAGGGACGGCGCTGAGGGATTAGCCGGATTTTAGGACAAAAACAGGTAGGTTTTAACACACTGTGTTTTTTTAAACGACTGGGGATAAACTGAAAAGACACATACACACCTGTCTACAAGTATATTTTTGTGTGTCTTCTTAAAATAAGCTCGGTAAATTGTTCGTATTAAGAAAGCCAAGCAATGCTAACAGCTACTGTTGCTAGCATCTGGTCAGGGAGTGTCCGACTGACAGCACCAAATATCAGAGTCAAAAGTGGTTTTAATACCAGTTACAATCGTTAAAAAAGACAGTATTTACGCATTTAAATGAGTAACTGTGCTACCATGGTCATTATAGACATTTAATGAGCTTTGGTTGGTGGTTATGAAGCCAGCGTGGATCCAGATATACAGTCCTAAAAGGATGATTAAGCTCTGTTCTCGTTTAAATTAATTCCCAATCCGGATTGTTTTCCCTAATTCTTTCATTTTATTTGGTTAAAAGGGAGAAAATGTGATGTCAGGTAGCAGCCACACCCGTGCTGTGATTTATTATGATTCCCACCAGACATACCAAGAAATAAAACTATGTGCCTGTTTATCTTGATTTGGATTTATTATGCGAGTTAATCAAATTACCCGGATGACATTATTCTGGTCAACGAGGCAGTGGGATATGCTAGGAGTATGGGTGTTTTCAGGTTTAAACACACTAGATGGCAAAAAATGACAGATTTAGCTTATGCATGTCACGTTATTTAGGGCCATGATAGACATTTTTATTTGTTCTGTGTGGATGTTTTTTGTTGTTGTTGATCATCCAGGTAAATTGGGCACTATTCATGCTGAGTGCATAAACATGAGTGAACAGATTTTGGCCCTGGGTTGTATGGGTGACCTATTTTTCCTGTATGCATGCAGTGATGAGAACAGGCATGATTATTACTAGCATGCATGTAGTTATCAATTCATCTACCTAATATTTCTGAATTTCTCAATTGTTGATTTAAAAAACGCCTAGACAGAGAGAATAATGCTTACAATATGTTCCCAGAGTCCCAGGTGGCATTTTTAAATAGCTTGTTTTATTTGGCCTACAGTTAAGAATCTAAATCTACTTACAAAGATATGAGATGACAGCAAATTCTCGAATTTTAGAAGCTGGAACCAGAGGATGTTTGACATTTTTGCTTGATTAAAAGTCTTTAAAGGTGCATTAACTATGATTTTTGTACATTATCTGACAAAACAAGTGAAAACTAGACAGGATGTGGTGTGTCAGCTATACTACCCCCCCAAACATTTTGGTTTTCTGGCTGTGAGTAATCAATTTTATAACATCGCTTTAGGTATACGTTCTGCCTTTATCATTATTCTTGATATAAAATGAACAAATTACTGCACTAACTTAATTTAAACAAAATCAGATGAAACTATTTGAAAATAAAATGAATTATATACCTTTTAAATAAATTTTCTTTTGATATAGCAAGTTTGCAGTTTGACCAATCTCTCTCACACGCCAAACTTCATTCGTATTATTCCTTTTTCATATGATCTTAATATATGGACACGGACACGCTCCTCTTTACCTTGTTTAGTGATGTCAATTTGTTCCTCCTGGACCGGCAGACTATCCGAGCTGCAGTGTGATTGAAATGTTCCTTCTGGAAGTGTCACCTTTGCTCCTGCAATATTCCTGTACACTGCTCTAAATAGGCTGGCAGCATGAGCCGGTAACGCCTCTTTCTCTGCCACTGTCCTCATCTTTGTTTAGGGGGCAGTTCTGATTTTAGCTGTCTGCTAGTGGTCTCTGTTTCTTCAGTGAGAACTCGTCTCTTCCTCAGACAAATCACCACCACCCTTCTCTTGGTTCTGTCTGTGTCATTTGCATAAAAGGGTGCAAAGAGACTGCAGAGGTTTGTGTCCCTCACCATTGCAAACTGTATATAACTCACTTGTGTCTAAAGTCTTAGGTTGCATTTAGTAAATTTAAGCTGTTCTTCAGTCTTTCTAAACAACTGTTGGAGTTTTATCTTGGCACTGAAGCTACAAACATGGATACTGCCTCAGTCAGGATATCCCTACTGTACATGTAGGATACTACTGAGCCTAGTCAGTACATTTTGTATCCTGGTCCTTGCTTGGTTGCATTATTTGGTAGGAGAAAGCTGTTTTTTTGTTTTGTTTTGTTCTACTGCAGAAATGCACATTCTTCCAACATCTCTCATCGGCCTCTGAGCTGAGAGCTTTTCAACAGAAATCCTGCAGATGACGACACAGAAAAAGCCCCAGCCACGCAGTTAGCTGATAAAGGAGTGTTAATCCTTGCTCTGCGATGGGCCACACCATCATACTGGGCCCTAATGCAGTCTGCTGGCTTTTGGGCCTTTTGTGTCCAACCACAATGAAACTGCATCCAGCTGGTTCACCTTCCCCTGTTTGAAAAATACTTATCAAGGAAATGTTTTTTTTTGAAGAAGAAGAAGAAATTTGACATAATCTGATGTAGACTGCAGAGCTTTAGAATACACCTGGGCTCTTAAAATATTTCTTTGCTGTACTGATAGCCATAAAGCAGCAGTTTTGTTTTTGACTAATCATTAACTGTAGTAATTATTACAGGGTCTGTACTTTAATGACTTGTCTTATCAGGACTTAAACTGCTCTTTGATCAGCATCAAAGAAGTGCAAAACTACTGCAGACTTCTGTGTCCTGCCAAATTAGGAGGACATGCATGGGAATAATGACTGTCAAGTTTATTTTGAGGAGCTTTTGAGAGGTGTGTTTGCAGGCGTTAGGACCCAGCTCCTCCGTGTGGGCCTACACCACCCTCCCTCCTGCAGAAGCCAGTGCAGACAGTAGCGCAGGGCAGTGTTGCCGCTCAGCTGATGGAATCACAGCAGAACAAGCCTGGCTGTTTTGGGTTTTGTTTTTTTTTTACCCTTCTTTGCTCTGCTGTTTTTTTTCTGATCCATTCATCGGGGGTGGTGGCACAGCACCATCTTCCCCTAGGAACTTCCTGACAGACCCAGAGGCTGCTGTCAGAGTAGAAGAGGAGGGACGGGGGGTTTTGAGGGCCAGAGCTGTACTGTGATGATCAGGAGAGGGATGGTGTGATTGTGAGGAAGAGGAAGGCGCTTCACCAAAGCATCACCGAGCCCCCTTCCCTCCACTCGACCCCCCTCTGTCTGGCTCCCCCCAAATAGCGTGCTCCTTCAGTTAAGAGTCCTGGGAGGTTGGGGGGGGGCTTGGCGATCAGGGAACATGTCACAGACTAGGAGGAACGCATACCCCCGGGTAAGTGGTCATATATCCCAGTTAGGTGAGCGAATGAGCCAGACTGTGGTGTTTAACTTAGTCTTGATCTGTGCGCCATTGTTTCTGTTCTGTCTGATCAATTAGCTTCACTCTGTCGTCTCCTCCTTGATGGTTTCTACTTTGTATAGAAGGGTTTCTAATCCATTTCAGCGCTGCCTTCCTCTGTCTGAATTGTCACCTCTTTGTTCGACTCAGACCCTTCTCTGGGCTCAAGATTGTTGCTGTGATATTGGGGTTCAGACGTCTGTGATAACTTGACTCTCTGGCCCTCTAAATTAGGAGATGATGTATGGCAGGGAGGTAATAGGATCATAAAGCTTTTTATTACTCGCAGACACAATTTGTACTTCCCAGAAGACTTCCTGTTTGTCCTCTGTGTCTGAGTCAGCCAGCTTTTCTGTCACCTCCAAGGATGACATCAGTGCATGCTACACACAGTACAGTGCTTTCCTCAGATCACAGAACACCAAACGTCCTCAACAGCCTCACAAGTTTCATCAGTGCCTTTATCAGAGCATCATGAGTTGGTACCTTGTGGCAAATGAGGCTGTATTTTTATTTTATTTTGACAATACTGGCATTTTACGCTCGCGTGTGTTGTAAAAGTAGAGTGGCGTTAAATAATTCAGCACGCCCTCCTCGGGTCCAGCACGCGGCAGACAGGTCGAAGCAGTGACTGAACAACACTAAATGCTTCATTACAGCGTGTTGGCTTGAACAAGTTAACCCAGTTGCAACACTTAAGTTTTTATTTTGAGTCAAAGAAAGCATGAAGTATAACACACAGTAGGTGTTTAATTGCAGACTGGTTCGTTGTTACTGCTGCTGAAGAAACGCAGATTCTGTTATGAATCCGAAGCGACTGTGTCTTTAAATAACGCTTGAATAAAAACTGAGGACACAACTGCGACATTAAAGCTCTTGATTCGAATGCAG